AGAAGTTTGAGGTCCAGCCACGTCCTATCATCTTCTTGATGGATATCCCCCAAGCAAGGACAGTGTCCACTCAAGAAGAAATGAAGGTCAAGACGGACATACATTAAGAGAAGATGGAGGCCACAATACATTCCATCCAGTCCGAGTAAGACGAGCCTATCAAGCATCGGCTGGAAGACGTCGTGTGTCGACTAAAAGACGTAGGGCCTCCGCAAGGAACTGACTGAGAAGATTAATGAAACACAGGTGGACTTACAGGTAGTAAAGACGTCCATCGATACACGGGCGAAAAACATCCAGAAACACCTATTAGACACGAGGAACGGCCTACACGAAGAGCTTGGCCTCGTGATCCAGGTCGAGCTACAGACAACGAAGGCTGAAATAAGGATGAATCAAGAAAGGATGGAAGCCGAGATTGCGGCCGCTTGCCGTGAGTTTCAGGCACAGTTGAATTAAGCCGAGGCCGGGGCCGAACCCCGAAGGGGAACATGAACCGGCGCGGTGAAGCCACCAAAGTTCGACGGGACTACATCATGGGCCGTGTTCCGGCGCCAGTTCGAGACCATAACAGAGCACAACTTCTGGACGCGCCAGGAGAAATCCACATACTTGACCACCGCCATGCAGGGCCGGACCACCGACGTACTACACGGAGTCCCGAAAGGTGCGACCTGTGAGGAAACCCTTGAGTCCCTGGAGGACCGCTTCGGGGACCAGCACCTTGCCGCCGCATATCGCAGTCAGCTAAACACGTGGACCCAGGATGTTGGGGAAACCTTGAAAGAATATTACTACAGCCGTCGAACAGCTTGCCCACCGCGCCTACCCCACAGTAGCCTAGGACCACATAAGGAAGGAGACAGGCAAGGCGCTCACAGGCGGGATAGAAGAGCCCTCCATAAAAATCCAGCCGCTGCTGGGAGAAGAGAAAACGGTGGGCGATGCAATGCACCTATCAGCCAGGCCCCACAAAACGAGCGCGAGGACATTCTGTGGGAGCCGATGCCCCCTACCGGGCGAAGAGACCAAAGACGATCAGCGTGTTGGAGCTGTTGGGGGGGGGGCAGGATACTTCCGGGGTAGCTATCCGTACGGAAGAGGTGCAGAAAACGACTACCGGCGCCGGAAATATGACGAAAGACTTTCGAGCGACACACGGGAACCGACGAGAAGGTCCGAATGGTGACCGAGAAACAACGGAGAGGCGGGCAGGAGGTAATTGGCAAATCGTCGGGAAACAAGCTGGTACCGGCGGAAAAGGGCGGACGCCGGCGTGAACATAAAGACCACCGCCCATCACGTGCTGTCACTACGGAAAGGGCCGATCCTAGCGAAGTAGTACTTATGAGTTCACCTTGTGTCTTTGCGTCTCCCCTTAATTTTTTCGTTTTCTGTGTGGTCTGTGTTGTATCGAATGAAAATAGGCGATTATTAATTTCTAGATTCAAACCAAAATGTAAGATTTTTTTTTTGCCACATTTGGCTTGTAATTTGAAGATAATGTGGTTGAGTATACCTGAAACCGAGGAGGCAGATGCAGTGATAACATATCTTGTTTATATGTGGAAGATACATGGTTAAATCTTGGTGATGCACTGGCTATCCTGACAGTTCTTTTCATGGTTTTCCTTTTCCTTGTAGGTTTATGTTAAGGTAGTGCCCTGACGAGGCCTGTATTTCTTCTGACCTGTCATAGCCATTTTACTTTACATTAATATCTTCCCATCTCATTTGATGCTGTGTAACAAATGCAATTGATACACATCATCACCACCACCACCACCATCATCCTCCTCATCCTCATCATGATGAAATCTAAGATACACATAAGGTGAACCAAAAGTGCAGGTCAGAACTTCTTCCAGTGAAATTCTTCTATTTCCTCAGCGACTATTCCACAGATCATGCAAGTAATAATGGACACGGTGATTGGAAAGTACTTCCCCCTTTTTATGGTTGCACACCTCGACCGGCTTGCGCCTTATCATGGAGCTGCTCGAGACGAGCAACCATAAAAGGGGGAAGATGTAGCGGTTGGAAAGCAGAGCAACGGGGAGAAGAGAAACAGTAGAAGGACACAAAGAAGATGCGGCAAGAACAGCCACCGAGGAAAAGGAACGGGGATGCACCGTTAGGCTATTCGGGACGAACAGCTTTAAGGAGGGAGCAGTGTGACATGTTGGGCAACGGAGAAACCCCCCAAGCAGTGACGTAGCGGGTAGCGCTCCTTCACCATGCTACTGCTATACGTTGTTGCACACAAGTGTTGGACTCACGTTACCATCGCCTGACTTGTGTACGAATATTACACGCGACACAAGCGAACCGCGTCTGGCGACGACGTAACCCCGGCCTTAGTCGATTATGATGAATAAGCCTCCTTCCTTTACACGCACACAGCACATACTGATGCGAGGATAAAAAAAAAATTGCCAATTATTATCAGTATTCCTTCCTGCGCGTTTATAAACCCAAATGTTCATGATAAATGCTTTTAGTAAATAATTGATATCTAATGAAAGAAGGTGAGGTTGTCCCTGTGCTTAATTAATTAAGCACTATGCCGTGAAGGCATATGGGGGAGTGGAGTTATAGCTCCACCATTCTTGACCTTGACACTAAATGGAGGCCAGCGGTTAGCTTCACGCCCCACTTGCTTTCTCGCGGGAAAACCCCCTGGTACCCACTAGATAGGAGGCTGGGTGGACCCCAGAGCCGGTCTTGACACTATGGGATAGAGAAAGATATCTTGGTCATTCCAGGAATTGAACTCCGGCCGTCCGGCCCGTAGCTCGTCGCTATGCAAACTGAGCTGTCACGGCTCAAGCTGATATCATGTACTGTTAAAAAAATACTTTTAGGTGTGTTGCTAATAGTTGGATATGCAGACGGTTACTTATACTGAATTGTATGAGACAGATGAGGTAGCGGTTCTTGGAAAACTTGCTTCATATTTGCTGGTCCGTAAATCAGAAACGATTGAGAATCGCTGTCTTGTTGCACCGCCTGTAGAAGAATAGTTGTACCAAAATTTCGAAGGTACTTAATTATCTTGGGAACTTCGCGTACCGTAATTATAACAAATCACAAATCTAAGATCCGCCTCCTACAAAGGCTCAATGTTAACATATTGAATACGCTCCCGAGTGGAAATTATTTTGTGGCGAACATGGTTTATTAAAGAAAAATTGCATTGTAATAACACATTGAATGAACTGTTACATATATTGAATGCAATTTTTCTTTAATAAACCATGTTCGCCACAAAATAATTTCCACTCGGGAATGTATTCAATATGTTAACATTGAGCCTTTGTAGGAGGCGGATCTTAGATTTGTGATTTGTTATAATTACGGTACGCGAAGTTCCCAAGATAATTAAGTACCTTCGAAATTTTGGTACAACTATTCTTCTACAGGCGGTGCAACAAGACAGCGATTCTCAATCGTTTCTNGGGGGTAGGATGATAAGCCGAGGTTGCCTCAAGCTGTTCTTCAACAGCTGTCATTTCTAAGGATTTTTTTAGTAACCAGATTTATCATTTATCTTTTCCTTTTCCTGGGTATTTTGCGGCACACGAATAGCGCATTTGCGAGTATTCACAGCAGAATTAGTTGATGTTCCTACGAGCTGAAAACAGAAAACGCGCAAGTCAGCCTGTACTGGCAAAAGTAAAGTAAAGGTATCAAAAAGTTTGTGACGATGGTATATTGCTACAAGTACAGTATTGTGTTTTTGGACATTATCCATCGTCTTGTCTATTTCATAAAAAACAGTCCTCAGGTTTTACCTGAGCACGGGGACAGAATCCAGTCTCCGAAAAGTGTTTTGAAAAAGAAACAGGACGGGTTTTTTAAAAAATAGAAAAGACGATGGATAATGTCCAAAAACATAATACTTGTAAAGTAAATGAATCCCTGTAACAGGCCCTGGAGGCCCGTAGGGTTGTGATATATTGAGGTTCCCACATTTTCTAGACAATCGGCTCAAAGATGGCGGTAAGGTTCTCAGCCTTACACGCCGGCCGCCCTTAACCCCAAGAATATTCCTGGTACTCATTTCTGTTAGAGACTAAGTCGATCCCAGAGCCATAGTGCGGCTGGAAGGATTAAGTAAATTGGAAAAAAAAAAATCCAACGACCTCATCGGGATTCGATCCTGCGACCTTCCGGCTTGTAGCATAGTGCCTCAACCAACTATTGGCACCGAAAATAAGATAAAATTGATGCCCATTATGCTTCGGCACAAATACAACTGAAAACACTGTTATGATAGGTCTGTGTCACGATGTGGAATGTGTTCACTTTTTTAAAACTTGGTTAGTTTGCACGAAATAAAGCACTGATAGATCTTCACCTGCCTTGTATTATATCGTACGCATTTCATTTAGGTCTTTATGTTTACGGACACGTTCAAGCCAGCAATATTCAATATCACATATTCATATAAATTACATAAATATATTGGATGTATGAGGGGTAGGCCTCCTCGGCCCTTCCACCACGACCTACAGTGGTCTAATTTTAAGCTTCAAACTAACATAGGTAGTTGGACTACTTTTTATTATGTAAGATATACTAAACGGTTCATTTCTAGAAAGTGACATACACACATGAACAAATTCATATACCTTCTCATAGTATTAAATCGACACCGACGAATTAGCCTGAACACTACTTTTTAATAGGAGTACCCAACCTCAGTTGGATAGCTGTGTGCGAAGTACGAATAGCTGCATGTTTATAAGACAACACCGAACAATTTGGTATAAATGTAACGCCAGTTTGGTTATTTGCATAATTTTAAAACCCGGATCTATCATAACTTTGAATAAATCGTTAGATTTTTGTTTGGCATAAGTTTATGACAATGGTACGGCGCCATTTTGCACCGTACCATTCAATTACACATGCTGGCTGGAAGCTTAAATAATAGACATACACGCATACATACATACATCGCCTAGTATAACAACAAATTAACATGACTATACACTTTAATTTTGTACTAATGAATAAGGGATGTAATCTCTCTGGGCTGCGATGGGAAAAAGAGGAGATGGTCCACGCACTCCATCTACAACTCCTGTTTTCCCACCCCCTGTCAGTAATTCGCTCATAAAGGATATATATGTAATGGCCAGTCTCAAAGTCTCAATACGAGATAAACGTTTCTCATAGGCGAAAGTCGGAACTTTGCGACGTAATTTATCAAACGCTTCGTTGAGATTGAACATACGGCGACGTTCCCGAATATTGGCTGCCCTGCGCTGGGCCATTGTTGCAACACGGCGTCTTGGTTTCTTATGGCTACAGCTTCCATTCTGCGCCGTCCCTCCTGTTCTTGGACCAAACCTGAAAAATAATATGTTCGGTGTCGGTTACTTCAGTAATGGATTAACACAAGGAGTGTCATATTTTTAATTTCAATATACGGGACACTTAATTTGCGAGGGGGGAGGGTAAAAAATTCCAGCATCTTTCGCGCTAAAACAGTCCTGAATCACTTCATTCCATTTCGCGTTTTGATGACGTATTCTCCTTAAGTACAATTTAGTAACTCAGTCTCTCAGATTTTAAAGAAATTTCATCACCAAACTGCAGTGTGTATTTTTTGTTTCCCGTATCCAAGCTGCATATACAGCCATCTCTCCGTGATTTTAGTACCCTAACAGTTTTACTGTATGTGAACCCATAAATACAAAGTCTCATTTCTTAATATCCCCTGGTCTCCATTTAATCTCCGTTGGTCAAAAATAGTATTGTTACGTCAAATAAAATAAAAATGTGAAGTTCTATTTGAAGAACTTGTAACATTTTATCATTCTTTAAGGGACTGCCAAATATGGGATAGCTGTGCCATCCGACACACAGTTCCAATACAGTATGAAAGAGCAGTGAATTCGTATTTACAGACGGTCGGCGTGACATCCCCCGAGGACGTCACAATTTTTGTGTCGGCATGTTGCAACCCTCTTTCGGTATGGAGAGATGCTCCTGGTTTTGAGGAGGTAAAACCAAACTTTCTCCTATGCTACTAATAAGAGAACGTGGAGGGAGACAATGTACTTCCGAAAGAAGAAACTCCGAGAACGGAATCACCAGTAGCTTCATTTCCACAAAGAACATACTTACTGCTTATCTCTGCTCTCCCTTAAAAATTTGCTCCTTTTCACGATAGGTACCCAGTCCTTGCTGTTTGCCTTTTGCCTCCATCCCCTCATTTTGATCTCCCGCAAGTTATTCTCTCCGTCTTGCAGCCATCTCAGCTTGCGCCTTCCTACTTTCATTTTCTTCGGCATATTTTCTTAGTCCTTGTTTTATCCATTCTGATCACATACCGCAAACACTCCATCATCTGCCTTTAGTATCAGCTAAGAAATCAGGAGTTTCATGTAATTCCCTAGTTCCTGGTCACATCTGATTCTCCAGACTCATTGCTCAGTTACTAGTCCTTACCCCTTTATCAAAAATTTCCTCTCCTACATACCGTATTTACGCATGTATAGGCCGCACATTTTTTGCCAAAAATTCAAGAGGAAACCTGGGGTGCGGCTTATATTCGAAATATTCGAAATCACACTTCATTAAATAAAATTATATTCATAATTAGTAATACAAATTTCGGAATAATTTCTACTCCTGAAATAATATTCCAAGAAAATTATTTTTTTCTATAATTTCTGTCTCAAAATTGTGCTGTGGCCTATACACGCACGCGGCCTATACATGCGCAAATACGGTACTTAAAATAATGTTATCCTTTTCAGTCATGAACCATGTTTCACATACATACTGTAAGGAACATACGGTGTAAAAAATGAACAAACTATTGAAATACAAGTTCACCGTGAGCATAAACATATACAGATGACTGACTATAGGCCCGTGTTATGAAGTAACAGTGAATGATATAGTATTTACAGAGTGAAGTTTCCGTTTTGATCTGAGTGAGAGAAAGCATACACACATGTAGGGAATTGTTACGATCTGCCGTCGTGACATGTGATAATTTGTTTAAATTTCATGAAAGTGATTTAAAATGTTACCAAGAAGCAGTCTCCACCGTCGTTGTTAGTAAGATGCAGCACCACAACAGCAAAATGCAAAAATATCACCTAAATTTCGTCGCAGCAAAGCGCACTGAAAATCGTGTTTACCATTTCATGAACAATGAAGCATTAACGAGGCACATATACGAACATTTCTACAATTCCCACATGTCAATTGACCTCATGCTTCTAGTGATGAGCAGCATTCTTTGCAGACACATTATGGTCCACCCACTAGTGATGACCACATACTGCAGAAAAGTTGTTCACTCTTGTTGTTTTCGGGAATATTTTCTCGCTGACAGATGTGTGAGCGTTGCTTTACTGCATGTACTGCATCTCTAAAGGCTGGAACACACACAGCGACATCGGTCGTACGGAAAAATGTACGATTTTTTTGCCCTACGATCTCCTTTTCACACTAGAGCGACCAAATACATTTCTTTGCTCTCCGACTGTCGTACCGTAGATGTCGCATGTCGTCACGTATGAAAGCTAGGACTACACTTTACATTCTACTACTTGATGCGACATGAACCATACGGACGTCGTACGACCGATGTCGCTGTGTGTGTGTTCCAGCCCTCATGGTTTATGCACATTTTCAACGTACTTTCATTACGGAGTTTTTTTTTGCTCGTTGTTTCTCCTGCGCGTGCTGCTAGTCCATCTTATTCTTTGTGAGTTTTAAAGTTCCCGCGACATGACCATGAACATTGCTTTCTTTAGAGATATGACGCCATGCACTCTGATAGATGCCGATGCTTTTGGGGGAACGCGCTTGTTTCATCTTGAGAGTAAAGGAGTACCATCAAGATATCTACTCCACGGCGTCACAACCCGGGAGACAGGAATATTTATTTCACCCTGCTTTATTTAATCTCCTTTACAGCAGTAGATTATTGGTACAGATTGTAATGGAAATCATATGTTATTCACGGGCTGAAACCGCAGATAATTTTTCTGCAGTTCTTTTATAACTAATATTAATTCCATTTGGATGGCTGTTAGCCATGATTAACCTCCGGACTCTCATCATCCGAAAGTTACAGAGAAAATTAGAGTAATTGTGGAGAAGCACTTGCATATACCTTTGTTGTATCATACACTGTGCTCTGGTGTGACTGTTGTTGTTATGAGGAGCTGCAGACCACAGCTCGCTAGCGAAACCAAGCAGTTCGGGATGTGATCCGTGATAACTCAGGGCTGTTCCGGGCCCGTGATGTTGATCCCACAGAGAGGAGTAAGGGGTTAAGTCCCCATAACCAGGCACTCCAATATCTGTTGTTCCTAAGGGCTGGGAACACAAGAGTCATAAACAGATAAGATTTTTACGGCAGTGAAAATTTATTTTGTAGCCTTCTGTGTTGTGACGCCATGTATTCTGACAGAGTGTATCAATGTTTCGGACTAACATACTGCCTCAGTCTTCAGAGAAGTTTTCATAGTGTAGACCTTTACAGTTTGTACTAGTAGCCGAATATTGTTCGGGTGATTTTCAATCATTGGTTAAGTAAATAAGGGCGAGGTAGATGGAAGCCGTAGCACAAATGGGGAAATAATACTCTGAAGATGGAGGAAGTATCCTTCTACGAAACAGTGATGCCCACCTACCAGGTACACGGAGTTTAGCCCAGAAGAACATAGTATGAAAGAGTCGTTAAAGTACCTGCATCGTACTTGACGGAAGAACCGTTAAAATATTGTGACGTAACGCCTGAAAGCCAGGAATAGTTAAGTCAGATCGGAAGTTGATTTCCTAGGCAGCGAGTATTAACAGAGCATGTTCCCGTGACAACGGGTTACCATGGGGTTATTATACATGCACTTCCGTGCACTTGGTTACTGTGGAACTGGAGGTGTTTCCATGGCAACGCGTGCTTACGCAGACAGTTACTGCAGATACGAAATAGGGAACCCTCAAGGAAGTGTTTTCTATCACAGCCGCCGAGAGGTATAAAGCGGAGAGCAATCTGGCAAGCAGAGAACGGGAAGTCTTGAATCTTATACAGTAAAATTTGGTCGCGAGTCCCACGGGACTCGGACCCGAGAATCACTGCGCTGGTGAGAACCAGCAGCAATTGTAAACGACAGACCCGCCCTCTCGTTAGAGAGACCCACCCCACATCAACAAACCCGTAACTGTGTGACAGTATTAAAAATATGGCCATAAACCCCAGATGGGTGCTTTATTCCAAGACAGACTGGCCGACTGACCGCCGGTCGTAATATAAGACTCAGACTCAGACTCAAGCAGAGAACGGAGAACGGGAGACTACTGCGGAATTGGACTTGGCATCATACAGACTTGAATCACAGAGCATCCGATAGCTGAAGTGTTGAAGACGTTAGTTCACGTGTGTAATTGTAAGAGCACACCCATACATCCATGCATCCGCTCTAGAACCTGTTATGTTCTTCACACGTACAGACAACTCATAAGATGGCAAGTGCTCCTGTTTACTAATATGTCTGGACTTTTGGTATAACTTGTTTTCTATCCATATGATAATCTTCAGACACCATATAGTCTGGTAGATGGGTACGAACGTTTTCGTCTTCAGGGTGGGCACGAAAATGGTGGGAAGCAGTGTTTCCCCCGTACACATTGTTAGGTAAAGTAGCAGGGAGTAGTCCAACGGTGTCATAACGCAGCAAAAAAAAAAGAAAGGTAAAGCTATCCCTGTAAGAGGCCGTGGAGGCTCATAGGGTTGTGAGACGTCGAGGCTTCCACGTTTTCTAGACAGTCTGCTCACAGATGGCAGTAAGGTTGTCAGCCTTACGCGCCGGCCGCTCTGTATCCCCCAGGAAAATTCCTGGTACTCATTTCTTTTAGAGGCTGAGTCGACCCCAGGGCCACAATGCGGCTGGAAGGATTAGGTAAATAGAAACATCCAGTTACCTAGTCGGGATTCGAAATCGCGACCTTCCTGTTTGTAGCATAGTGTCTCAAGGGAGGGATACAAACGATGTGGTCCCCCTTCCCCCAAAATATGTTTTACTGTGTATTGTTGCCGAAGTCTGCCTGCATGGAGAACATAATTCTTCACTCCATCATTATACTCGTTACCTCGTAAATAGGGGTGTGAACCTGAAACGCGAATGAAGAATGTACAATGTGAGTTCAATAGGCGAGTCCGGCAGAAGGAAGTGTAAATGACATGTAAGTGTCAATGCTCAGATATTTATGGCGACAAGTTTAAGTATTTATATTTGTTCATATAAGTTTAATCAAGTTTGGAAGAGACTGTGGACCTGTCGTCTGACAGATTACTGATGATGATGATGATGTATGTATATACGTGTAGACCTATAAATTCAGGTGTGATGAAGCGTAATTCAATAATAAGAGCCTTCGGTAATATTCACGTGTGTTCGAAAAACGTTTGCTGACTCTTCGATAATATTCAAGTGTTTGGAAGACTATTGCTGATGACCGAGTAGACAAGAAATGTATGCGTAGTGTAATAATTCTTATTTAAGAATTACGGAAAGAAAAATTTTGGGCATGTGTATGCTTTATTACTGTCTACGACCTTGTATGTGTGTATATGTCTAAGATGTGGGCCATAAAATCCGGCCCTCGCACTGCGACTTCCAATGATCTCTTGTGCTTCCCCTTTGGATTAACCCTTTATGCATCCTACACGTCGAATGAAATGTAGGACTTTATTTATGGGGGCGTCATAAAAGTCACTTGGTTCCATGAAGAACTGACCGAGGTGACGAAATCTTAAGTAAGCTATGGCCTCACAATCACACAGGGTATGTGTGGCTGATTCATCTTCTTGTACGCACCTCCCACAGGTTGGGTCATTTGTCAGTCCCAGTTTGAAAAGGTGTCCTTTTAGGTGGCAGTGTCCAGTAAGTAATCCTACCACCCATCTTAATTGATATCTGTTTAATTTCAACAGGTCATTCGTTCTTCTGGCAGAGGGTCCTGATATAAATCCTTTTGCCTGTTTGAGTCCAATTGTGGATTCCCAGTGTTTTTTGTGATTTCTATCTGTCCAGTCCCTGATCGCTTTCTTGGCAACTCCAGTTGAGATGCAGTAAGTTGGTTCAGGTCCTATGAACGGCTGTTCAGATCCTGTTCTTGCCAGCTGATCTGCGGTTTCACTCCCTGCAATACTCTCATGGCCTGGCACCCATGTCAGTCGAACTCTGTTATGTTTGGCCAGTTGCATGAGGGATTGGTGGAAGTCCTAGATCAATTTTGAAGTGATTTGGTGGGTACAAAGTGCTTTAATTTCAGCTTGACTGTCTGGTAGAATATAGTTGTTCCTATGTTTATATTTTCTATCTAAATTCCCAACTGCGGTCTACGACCTTTGCTCGAAACGTTTTCCGCTCTGATAAACATTTAAGCAATTATGCTGGAGACATGCGCAGAAATGTGTGCAGATCTTCATGTAAAGTGTCTGTCATATCTGTTCGAATTAAGCAAAATTTTATTATATTGGAAAATTTTAGTAAAGCTCCTCTCTATGAGATTTAATGAAAATATTTTTCAGCGGTTCTCGAATTGTGTCGTGTGTACAGTGTGACGGACGGAGCCAATTTAGTCGCCGGCCCCCACCGTGAGTGAAACATGGATCGACCAAATTATAAAGTTACATTTTATTTAATTTCCTCTATTCCTCTGTTAATTGATACGTCTTGGGTTAAAATATTCTCAGCATTTTGTATCTGATCGCCTTCAGTTGTCATTCATCCCTAGAAGTTTGTTTTGCTAACAAACACAGACCAGCCTAGAAAGCACCGAAGTTAATTTTCTGATTTTGAAAATTAAGTTTTCTTTTGTAATTATTGAGGAAAATACTGTGGCTGTGTACGATCACATAAACTAATACCCAGGTTCGGTACGGATGTTTCTGTACGTTTCTATATGTTTTTTACACGAATGCATAATTGGGCATGTCGAACGTGTCCGCCCTTATCCTGTGTTTCATATCCGAAATCATTAGACGAACTTCGATACTTTTTTTTCCTTGGGAGTCTACGCCAAGAGTCAGATTAATTTATTTGTAGTGGGTATCTATCAGATACGATTCCTACTACGAAGCCCACACATAAATTAATCAAATTTCTAAAAGAAAAAGACTTTTCATTTTACTGAGAATTGTTGGGCGGCATACAATGCTAAATCAAATCTAGATCCCACTAGTTTTAGTTTAAACATTTTCGATGTTCTGTAGATATACATATTTTGGCGGATCTCAACTCATGACGCTACCCACTGGGCGCAAAGTGTAATGTTTCCTTTGAGGGGGCTTCTGGGAGAATGGAGGGCTCCGCGTTGCGCTCCAGCTGCAGATTTTCCCTGGGCTACTGACTACTATTTCTCCCATAGACGCCGAAGTCCTCTCCGTTTGTCTTTACCCTTACCCCTCCTCTTTTTTGCTGTGAGGTGGTATGTTAGGGAGGTAAGAAGTCTGGTATTGGGTGGCCAGTAAGCACAAAGTAGAGCGGCTTACAGTTAGAGATTGTGCCTCCTGGGTAAAGGTTGGTTGGAGGTAACTGGCTCTGCTCAGGATTCGGTAGGCCTGAGATCTTATCCCGGGATCTTAATAGGCTTTTCTCCTGCAGGCACGAAGAACACAGCAGCACACTCTTGCAAGCAATAACAACAATGGTTGGCACTTGATGAATGATTTATCAAAGAACATGAATTACAATTATTGTCACGCTGATTTCAAATCACTGCCGATCATTTTTAATAATATTAAACGCTTTATTGCAGTTTCTAAGTTGCAAATTGGGTCGAAAGCCTCACAATGATTGCTTAGTAATTTAATGTACAAGAGGGACTAATAAGTTAATTTAGAATTTATGCGGAGCGCAAGTTTTACGTCCGAATTTGTCAGAAGTTAAAATAAGAGTGTTGTCTCGGAACTGAACTCTTGGAGCAGAGGTATCCTCAAATCCAGCTTCCGGAGCAGTTCAGTCCTCCAAACGTCCCTCATTGGCTTAGTCTGAAATCAAGGACGTTTCCTAAATTTGTTTCTCCCAAACAATTGTATATGTGTTAGGTGACTTTGGATCTTAAATTTTCAAACGGCGTTTTTGACAGAGCTCTGATCTATGATAGTCGTAGCGCGTGTCTCCAGCACGCCTGCCTTTGTCTAATTATCAGGGCCCGGACTTTGATGACCTGAAAATATTTAAAAAATGACCGAAAAAATCCAGACAAATGACCTAAAATATGACCCAAAAATGTAATATGCAGGGCCCGGATTTTGATGACCTGAAAATATTGAAAAAATGACCTAAAGGAGAAAAGAAAGAACACTTCGC